CCAAACCATCACCCTCCTCACCCTTCCACGAACACCAAATAAGTTAAAGGCTGAGGCACTGAGCCCTGCACACATATCTTAAATTAATCTCGAAGCAACTTAAAAGGGCTGTTTTCCTCCCCTGCCCCACACCCAGCACATTTTCTGTGGCAGCTGGGTCAAGCTTGAGCAGCGTTTGCACCACTGACTCAGTATCAGAATATTCCTGGGTTGTCCTTTTCCCATCATCCTTTCCACTTTCCACTGTTTTGTTTTGAATATTCTCAGCCTCTCTCCCCCATCCCTCTACACACATAAACACTTGCATGTATACACACACGCTTAAGGTACCAGCTCACCACGGAACAGGGATTCTGAACTGAAAATCCATGGACAAAATTCAGATGGATAATGTATTTCTTTTCTTTTTTCCTTTCCTTTTCTTTCTTTCTTTTTTTTTTTTTTTTTGAGAGGTTTTCGCTATAGGGCGTGTACGCTCGCCAGACAGACAGAGACATAGAGACAGAAAGTGAGAAATCACCCCCCAGGGGGGATGGTCACGCCGCAGTCCCTTCTCCTCCATTCTCCTCTTGGGATCTTGGGCACGCACGCACACGCGCCCAGCGTGAGTTTTAAGCCACCGGGTCCGGGACGCAAACTGGTCGACTACGTGGGAGTCCAGCCACATAGCCATTATGTTAACTGCTGGTCCCCTAGATAATGTATTTCGATAGGGAGAAAAGATAAGCCTTTCTTTTCACTAGCCTCTAACTGAAATCTAGCTTTCCGTTATGGACATAGACAACAACACATTACAGTTAGCAATGCCAGTGCCTTGGATCCCAGCAGAAACACATATGTTACATTGCCTTGAAATATCATTTATGCTCACCACGCCTTCAAAATTATGGTAGCTATTGGACTTCATAAATTTTACTGTTTACTGTACTAAAACAGAAGTACAATGTTACTGTTATTTTTTAAAAGTTAGTTAACTATTCAATAATTTTTTTCAAGCCTGCATATAACTAGCACAGTTACAAACATTATTCTGAAAGGGGACCACAGGCTTCACCAGACTAACAGGGTTCATGTCATAGAAAAGTTAAGAGGCTCCGTTAAAGAGTAGGATTTTAAGATTTTCTCTAGGGTTATCAGGGAGGGGACCAAGGACCTGGGGGTTAAATGACAGTGTTCAGTGGCAGCATAAGGCAGGTCCTTGGAGCAGGACAGGAGGGTTATTGGGTGACAGGTTGGATGGGCTTTGCAGACAGACTTATAGACTAAAATACTATAACACTGTGACTAAGATATTGTTAACACTGCTGGTTAGACAAAATATTGGCCCTGTCTAGCAGTGGCTTTGGGTAAGCCTCTTTCACTCTCTGGGTTTCTATTTCCTCAGCTGTAAGACAGAAATAATAATATTCTGGGGATCAGCAGTTAGCGTAATGGCTATGTCGCTGGACTCCCATGTAGTCAGCTGCAGTTCGAGTCCCAGACTCTGGCAGCTTGAATTCACTCCAGGCATGTGTGTGTGTGTGCCCAGGATCCCGAGAGGAAAATGGAGGAGAAGGGATTGTGGTGTGGCCATCCCCCCTGGGGGGTGATTTCTCGCTTTCTGTCTGTCTCTTTCTGGCGAGCTCACGTGCCCTATAGCAAAAACCTCTTAAAAAAAAAAAGAAATAATAATAATCTGTATAACTCTTGTGAACATGAATTGAAAGGATATATGAGAGGCAGCAATTCCTGCCCAATTATATGGAATCTGGCTGGCTCTGGAAGGGCAGTCTCCCCTCCCTGGGGACTTGTAGGGCTAAGGTTTGCTATTGATTTTGCCTTTGAGACAGGCAGTTTTTGCCCAACACAGGCTTCCTATATCCTTGAGTTTCAGGTACACTGTAAGTGCCTCAAACTCTAAAACAGGTCTAGACAGACTTAAGTACCCTGTCTCTCTCTGTCCTTGGCTCGCTGAAACAGGTGCTCAGACCAGGCTGTAAAGTAGATTCCCTGTCTTAGAGCAGAAGAGACTCGAAGAAGAAGGAGATTTTCTAAATCTTTGCAAAACTGTGCTAAAGGAGACCAAGGACCTGCCTCAGCCTTGGCTCCTGACCTAGAATCTCAGTACAAGCTCGATAGTGCAAGGATTTTGTAGTCCAAGCTGCCCTCCGAGAGTAGGCAGGCCAGGGTCAGACTCAGGGTGCCACACCTCTGAGGAAGGACAGTTGAAACCCCTCATGTGTCTCTTCCAGAAGCTTACTTAAATGACGTTTAAAAGTTCAGCTGCAGAAATAGATATGTAATAAAAATTACATATATAAATATTCTTTTGACTATATATTATAAAAGATTAGGAAACACAGAAAATTTATACAAAGTAATTAAAATCAACCATAAGCTTGGTCCCCAAATCTGTTTGCAAGTGGTAAATTTTCTTCCAGTGACACATAAATTGGCACCATAATTATACAGAAAGATTTATATATTGATCTCATCCCTTAAAAATACTAGAGATATGTTCAAGATGGGCTCCTAAAGACATAACACCGTTATATCAAGTGCTGTTTGTAAAATTCACAGGTTACTGAGAGACGTCATGGAATCCCTAAGAGTAGTATTGTGAATGCAAATATAAGTTACAGCTGAAAATTGAGAGGAGGAAAGCCCCATCTATTCTTCTTAAAGGTGCTCTTTCTTCTCTTTAGCTTGAGGAGAATCTAGAGAAGATACTTTTGTGTCCTCAGCAAAGAGGCAGCACTAAATGCAATTTTTCTTTTTCACTTTTTCCTATCTCACTTTTCGCTGATAAGAGAAAGCTTTGAAAGTTCACTGCCAGAGAAATGGTGTCATACTTGGGAAAGTACTCAGCAGCTGAGGAGAAACCTCCAGAAAGAAGCGACACGGAAAGAAGAGCCCTGGACTTAGGGGGAAAAAAAAAATGGAATTTGAACTTCAGCTCTGCCGTGGTAGACCCAAGATCAAAGAGTTTCAGCTTCCCTGTGTGTCGAGAGACACCCCTCCCACCCAGTAAGGATGGGAGGATGGTGAACCATAACCGAGACTCTGTATGTAAAGTGCTTTGTCCACAGTAAAGAACATAGCGGGATGGTGACTGCTAATTGACGCAATCATGGCTATTAATAGTATTGTTTTGGTGACTTAGCAGGCCTGGATCACTCACAGGAGGCTCAGAGAGGGACATCAACAGTAGGTGAAGCCATGGACTCTGGAGCCAGTCAGAACAGGCTTTTATGCTTGGTGAATTTTTTTTTAATTTTATTTATTCATTTATTTATTTTAATTGGACCAGACACACACACACACACACACACACAAAGAGAGAGAGACAGACAGACAGACAGACAGAAAGACAGACAGACAGAAGGAAAGCAAGAAAGTAAACCACCAGGTCCAGGACTCAAACTGTGGTCAGCCATGTGAGAGTGAGTGTCCAGTGCCTTAACTACCATGCCACCTGCTGGTTCCCAGCTTAGTGAATTTTTAATCTCTCAGTTTCTTCTGTAAAATAGATGATGATGATGGTATACTTACCTCTTAGTCTCATGAAAGGATTCAATTTAATTAGTTTACTAGTGCTTAGAACAGTGCTTAGCACGTATTTTTTAATGGTAAACTTTCAAAATAGTCAGTAACGAAGACTGAAACAGACTCACACCACCTAAAGTTAGTAGACTCATTTCTGTAAAGCTTTCCACAAAATTACAAAAGATTAGGAAACAGAAAATTTATACAGAGAAATTAAAATCAACCATAAGCCTGGTCCCCAGAGATCAAAACTATTAACAAGTGGTAAGTTTTCTTCCAGTTATGTATGAATTGGAATCATAATTATATAAACAGATTTATATATTGCTCTCTAAAAAAGTACAATAATTGCCCCAGCCACCGTGGCCATGCAGTGGGCAACACACAGTAAAGATGGGGCCGTATGGAAGGCCCAGGTTTGGGGTCCCAGAGCCACCTGGACAGACTGGGTGTGGTGATACACACCTGTGTGCCCTGCCAGCTGGGGGGCTGGGGCAAAAGATCACAATCACACGACTCTGTTAAAAAGACGTGTCTCTTGGCTGGGAAATGCAGTGCTCTGTGAGGCAGATCCCCATGGGAGCATTGTGCTGCCAGTCTTCGTCCTCGCATCTGGAGACTTCTCTGAGTATGCCAGCCATGCACGTGCCCACGATCGGGGCTGATTAAAGATGATGCGGGTGGGAGGGGGTCCAAGGCATTGAAACCCTGTCAGGGATGCTATATCTCACTCTTTGCTTTCACTTACAATATTCACTTCCAAAATTAAGAAAAAAAAAATTAATGCCTGGGACCAGCAGATGGCATAACGGTTACACCACTGGACTCCCACATATTCAACCACAGTTCGAGTCCCAGACCCAGTGGCTTAAAATTCACATAGGGTGTGTATGCACGAGTGCCCAAAATCCAAAGAGGAGAAGGAAGGAGAAGGGATTGCAGCATGGTCATCTTCCCTGAGGGGTAATTTCTCACATCTGTCTCTCTGGTGAGCGCACACACCCTATAGGAAAAATCTCTCTCTAAAAAAAGAAAAAATAGGGAACCAGCAGTTAGCGTAATGGTTATGTCGCTGGATTCCCACGTAGTCGACCGCAGTTCACGGCCCAGACCTGGTGGCTTAAAATTCATGCTGGGCACGTGTGCGTGCATGCCCAAGATTCTGAGAGGAGAATGGAGGAGAAGGGATTGTGGCGTGACCATCCCCGCTGGGGGGGTGATTTCTCGCTTTCTGTCTCTGTTTCTCTCTGTCTGTCTGGCAAGTGCACGCGCCCTATAGCAAAAACCTCTCCAAAAAAAAAAAAAAAGAAAAAATAATGCCTATTTCTCTTTCTTCCTCCTCTTCCTGTGTGTGTGTACACACTCTCATAAAATAATAATCATCATTAATCAGAAATTTGGATTGATAACCTATGCCATTTTCTCTAAAAACTACGTCTCCCACCCTGGCCAGGTTTGGCTTGCCCCCCTCCTACCTTCTCAGCATCCTGCTCGAAGAGCCGCAGCTGGAAGCACTGGTCCAGCTTGAGCTTGCGCACGTGCCACATCTGGTGCAGGTGCTGCCGGGTAGAATGCAGCTTATCCAGGAGGCTGGTGATCTTGGGTACCAGGCTCTGGAAGTCGGCACTGCCAGGGATGCAGTTGCGCCCTGAGAAGCCATCGCTGCAGCGCCCCAGCCGCTGCCCCTCCCGGTCCAGCTCCTCCACAGGGGCTTTCAGCACCTTTTTCTTGAGTTGTGTGTGCTCATCTATGAGCCGCCGAGAGCCCTCCACATCCACAGGGAACTCCTTCCGGGCCAGCATCTCCTGCAAGTCCTCAAGGCGTGAGAGCAGGTGCACTGCGCTGTTGAAGAACTCCTCCAGGGAGAGCCGCAGCTCGATCCACTCCTCGTGGTTGTAATCCAGGGAGCCATCAAACTCCTCTGTCAGCTGGGAGGGGTCCACCAGTTTCGTGAGGCCCTCCACAGACACCATGCTCGTCTGGGAGGGGCAGAAACAGAGGCAGACTCAGTGACGTGGGGAGGAGTAGAGGAAGATCAGGCAGAAATAGGCAGAGGGAAAAGCAAGGGGAAAGGATAAGATAAGCCTACATAATTATCCCCAAAGTCTGCCTAGGGCAGGGCCAGTAGAGACTGTGGGGCCCACTGGTCAGAAGTCACAAATCAGCAAGGATCAGCAGTTTCAACAGACTGTTGACAGCTTCATCAAGCCTCTCAACATGCTCGCCATTTACCACATCAATTGTCTTTACATCCCTGCTTCTTCTTCTTCCCTCTTACCCACCCCAAGTCCTTCACACAGGGCTTCAGCTGCCAGAGGCAGAAGCTGAAAGAAAAACTGACCCAGACCCAGGGTTGGTTAAAACCGAGGCCCGTGGTCCCAAGGTCCCATGGTTGGATTAAGCAGTGTGGGTCAAGACTTGGGCTGCAAGGATGTCCCAGACTATTTTCTCCCCATTAGCAGATGCCCTTCTGCCATGCAGTGAATGGGACTGGGGCTGGGCAACAGGGAGTCTGGGCCCTTGGTTTCTCTGTGAGGCTCCAGCAAGCTCTTGGAGAGCAGAGTAGAAAGTGTCTGTCTCCAGGAAGCAGGGTCTCTAGCAAATGGTGCAGCCAATGCCCTCTCCCTAGCTTATTCACAAACATCTTTTCTTTCCTATAGGCCTTCAGGATTCTTATCTGTCTCATAAAAATGGAAGCTATCAAAGCAAAATATGAGTTCAGGATCCAGTCTTACACTCCCTAAGTGCATAACCTGGAGCAAACTACCAAAGTTCTCAGAACCTCAGTCTCCTCCTCCACACAACAGCACTCACCTTCCTCACAGGGCTCACTGGGATTAGATGCATTGATGCATGAAAACGCATGAGTGCCCAGCATGGAGTACATGTGCAATCCCTGTTAATGTTCACAGCGACCATCAAAAGGTTGCATCATTACTTGGACCCTTAAAAGCAGTTTCTCCATCTTGCTGCTCTTTGGTCATCACCTCCTCTTTTCCCTTTTCCCTCCATTCTCCTATGAGGACACAGGAAAGGAGCTTCCATGGGCAGGAGAGCTGGTCTTGAGTGATTCTCAAACTTGACCGCTCATTAGAAATCTTTGTGGATTTTGCAAAAATATTGATGTTCAAACCCCATCCCTAGAAATTCCAATTTAATTGGCCTGAAATGGGGCTTGGGTATGGGGAGTTTTAAAAGCCCACTAGATGATTAATGTGCAGCCGGCATTCCTAACTCCTGCTAATTTAGATCCTGCTACTCAAAAGTATAGCCCTTGTACTGACAGCATTGGCATCACCTGAACCTTGCTAGAAACACAGACTCTCGGCCCAGCGTGGGAGGCTGGAAGCTGTGTGGAAGGCCCAGGTTCAGTTCCCAGGCCAACCTGAACATGCTGAGCACAGATGTCCTCACTTGTAATTCTAGCTGACTGGGAGACAGGGGCTTGGGAATCAGGACACAGTAAGACAGTATCAAAAACACTTCTCTCTGTCTCTCTCCTCTTTCCTCTTTATCTCTCTCACTCTTGCTCTCGCTCTCATTCTCATGTAAAGAGGGAAGGGAATAGAAGGGAATAGAAGGGAATAGAAGGGAATGGAAAGAAGGAAGGAAGGAAGGAAGGAAGGAAGGAAGGAAGGAAGGAAGGAAGGAAGGAAGGAAGGAAGGAAGGAAGGAAAAGGGAGACTCTCAGCTTAGCCACAGAGGAGCATGCTGGTGTGATGCTGTTACTCTGAGAGCCAGGGTTCTATTCTTGGCCCACTCTAAAAATCAGTTGTGGTGGTATGCCCACGTGGTCCCAGCTGCTCAGTAGGCTGAGGCAGGAGGAGTGCAAAAGAGTGAGACCCTGTCTAGGGAAGGGAAGGAAGGGAAGGAAGGGAAGGGAAGGGAAGAGAAAGGAAGGGAAGAGAAAGGAAGGGAAGGGAAGGGAAGGGAAGGGAAGGGAAGGGAAGGGAAGGGAAGGGAAGGGACGGGACGGGATGGGAAGGGAAGGGAAGGGAAGGGAAGGGAGACAAAGAAATATAGAATCTCAGCTCTACTCTGGACCTACTGAGTCAAAAATCTGCATTTACAAGGTCCCCAGGGAATTTCTGTGCATTAAAATTTGGGAAGCCCTATTCTAGCATTTTCACTTTAAAATTTGGCTCAGAGTTTACCATTCCAGGAAGTCCTCCATAATTATACTCACCAATTATTCCGTAAGTATCTGTATTGAACAAGCCTGTGCTCTCGTCCTTATACCGTTTATTGTTTGTCACCTCAGTGTCACTGCAGTAGGTTTTTTAAGTACTGCTGTTTTTGAAGTACTGCTTTATAAATATTCTTCTGAGTGGGAGGCCCCCAACCCCTCCTTTGTACTTTTATTTAGGAGGCAGAGACGAACTTGCTGAACTTGGAGTAAAGGGGGTACAGAGAGATGGGGTACACAGGGCAGCTATGCTGAAGCAAGTTTCAAGCCTTACTAGAAAGATTCTTTTCAGTCTTTTCAGCTTATACATATATAGGCTTGTCGTCACCACCACTGTATAAACTAAGAACATAAACAGCATTTCCCTGTGGGATTCCCAGTGTTTGGTAGGAGTGCTGGGGGGCTATTATAGCTAACTGTGTTCATACCAAGCCACGTTTCTGTGTTACTCACACAGCGAGAAATGCCTCGGTCAAGTGGTCAGGTTGCTGTGCTCAAATCACAGTCTACTGGGGTTACTCCTCCACACAGGCACTCCTGGCCCCTCAAGGTAACACTATGGAAGGGGGGGCTTCTGAAAGATTAAAACAGCTCTGCCTTCACACACACACACACACACACACACACACACTTTGCTTGTAAGTGAGGACTAGAATTCTGAGAAAGGGGACAGTTCAAATTAGGCTGGAATAAAGGTGCTAGCTTATGAATTTAATCTGATATGTTGTCATGAAAAATTCTTGGGGGACACATACACCTCCGGAAAATTAAGTTAAAAAGCAAGATGTTTTCCCAGATTATAAGAGTATGATATATTTTATTATCCTTGAAAGACAATAGAAAGAGATGAAGAACATAGAAATCACTCACAATCCACCCACCATGAATAAACTATTGCTAGCATTTCATTTTCATGGGTCTCTCAGTCTTCTCCAGACACACGCTTAAAAAACAAATTTCAGATTATACTGCCCATGCTATGTTTTGTTTTGTTTTTCATTTTTGACAGGGTCTTGCTATTGCAAGTCTCTTGCCTAGGCTTCCCAGCTAGGAATACAGAGGCCCACTGCCAGCCTAGCTCATTTTAGATAAAGGTCTAGCTATATTGCCCAGGTAGGCTCAAGCTCACAGTCCTCCCACCTCCTCCTCCTAAACTACTGGGATTACAAGCACACACCTCTGTGCTCAGCCTTTAGGGTGAGCCATGTGGTCCCAGACTGCAGAGCACAGCATCTCAGCCATGTATGTCACCACAAGTGGGCCTGGCCATATGGTTTTATAACGTGTCTTTTAAAATAACATAGTGCCAGCAGACAGCTTGGCAGCTATGTCTCTGGACTCCCATATGGCCAACTATGGTTCAAGTCCTAGACCCAGTGGCTTAAAACTCACACTGGGTACAAGTGCATGTATGCCTAAGATCCTGGGAGGACGGTGGAGGAGAAGGGATTGTGGAATGGACATCCCCCGTGGGGAGTGATTTTTTCCTGTCACTGTCTCTCCAGCAAGCACAAATGCCCTAAGGCAAAAATCTCTTTTAAAAATACATAATTACATATGTTTGTGTGTGTGTGTATGCATAATTTTATATATAATTAACATTTTTTGATGATATTGTCTTTCTAAATATGGTTTTAGGGCTGGTATAGTGATGTAATGATATAATGAACTATACAAGTGATTTTGGATCTACATGGAAGACCACAGGTTCAATTCCCAGATCAATCTATAAATGCAGTGTACATATGTCCATGTTCCTGACTGACTTACATGGCTGGGAGGATTGTGGCATGAGACCCTGTTGAGGGTGCTTCTCTCTGGTTCTCACTCTTTTATAAAAGAAAGAAATAAACTTAAGTAAATAGGATTGTAATGGCTTCATAGTGCTTGTGTATTAATGTAACTAAAAATAATCTATAGTTATGATATAACCTACATATGTGTATATACTTATAATATATAAGCATACTTTGGGGGATCTTCAAAAAGTTCATGGAAAATGTGTATTATGAAAACATTTTGCATGGATTTCAAATATTTTCCACCAAAATAAACTTGAATTTTAATTCTGTTTTCTGTGTGTGTGTGTGTGTGTGTGTGTGTGTGTGTGTATTATATATTATACATAATAAACACACATACTATTATAAAAAATCACTGTGATGACCATCCGTATAGACAATTTTTGTTGGTAATTTTGCTGAACTTTTTACCTTTTTAAATTTCATTTCCAGATTAAGAATATTTTCTAGAAAAACTACTAGATCAATGGTGGATTAAACTCTTTAATATTCCAAAGTTGTCCCCCAAAATAGCTGTCCCAACTTACGCACCTACCAACAACAAACAGAACTGCTTAAAAGCTGTGCATTTGAGACGACCGCTTGAGCCTCCTTTTCTCCCCAGACTCTACCTGGTAATGCTGTGGTGGCCGAGGAGTCCTGAAATCTCAGCCTCTGACATGCTGCATACGGTAGGGTCAATGGCAAAGAGGGAGAAATGCGTGTGGCAGGAAGAGAAGGGGAAAAACCGCTAAGAGAAAAGGGTCTGGCTCACCTCAAAGATGAATTTGGAGCTGCCAAAGTTGGTCTTCTGTTTTTGCCAGAAGTTGTCGGGTTTGATGATGAGGGCCACATGGATCTCGGCTGGAAAGGCTTCCTGCAGCGTTTTGAGGAGGGGCTTGATGAGGTCCCACTTGGAACCCCGCATGTCGATGATGACGGTGAATCCACGTTTGCACACGTCCTCACTGTGGAGAGGTCAGAGGTCAGGCAGCTGAGACCCTAGATCACATAGCTAAAAACACCTGGAAACATGCATTCCCTTTGACCTGGACCACCTTTCCAAATTTGTACCAGCTTTCTGGGCCATCTTTCAACTCTACTCAAAATGTGCTGCCTCAGAAAACCTTTCTAGATTAACCCCACCTGGCCAACGGTCCTAGCATTCTGCCGCCTCCCAGCACGTAGCAAATAACTGCTTCCTCAGAGTCAACTGCACTTGTTGAAATGTTTACCTTTTGGCTATTCGCAGTTGTATTTGATTTGTCTCCCTCTCTTGTTGCTGAAATGAGTCATGTTTCTCCTATTCAAATTTAAGCTCTCAAATGTCAGAGACCCTGTCGTCCCATAAATCTGAGACAGAAAGTCTTGGGATGAGTTCTGTTCTTCCTTGTGCCCATATCAATGAGAGGCACTGGTATATTTTACCACTGGATTCAAACTGGAGTATGCTTTTCAGTAAAGGCCTTTAGGCCACATAGAGATGGTTAGAGACTACGAGATTGTTAGAGATGGTACACAAAGCATCAATAACATGTATTTGTCTCCACTACATTTAAGATGTACTACTTGTCGTTTAAAATGAATGTCAACTTTAAAACATCAAGCTGCTGTGTGCTGCTGATCACTCAGAGATAGTCAGGGCAGGACTGAGTTGGAAGTGATGCAGTGTAGCTCTTTCAAGCATTTTCACTGTAAGACTCTGGCTATGAGAACACCATTCCAGTATGTTAGGGGAGATGTGGGAACTAACCCTTGCTATCAAGGCCATCTGACGTGGCTGTGACCATCTTGAGAACCAAGAAATAAGAAAGTTTCATTTAGCCTTCATTTATGAAGATGTTGCTATATAACTGGGTAAAAAGAAGTTTATTTAAACACTTGAACTTTGACTAGAACTCCTGAGAACAGAAAGAAAAAAAAAGAAAGTCCAAAGAGTTACATTTCAGTTTAAAAATTAGTCTGTTTTGGTAGTTACCCATCTTTCCTGCTCTTATTTTTCACTTATTTAACCAATCCATTTATTCTATAACTCAAAGTATACTTTAGTTGTTAATTCATGTTTTTATATAAACACTGGTATAGCATTTCCTTAGGGTTTGTTTGCTCATTTTCCCCTTTCCCAGACTGTACTTGTTTAAATGACGACGCATGTTACATGACCCTTCGATGTGCCCCAGTGGCTTGCAGCTACTGGCAGTAAGGCCACAATTGAAGATTTAAGACACAAAAAGAATTAGAGGCCATTTTTTAGGCTTCACTCTCAAATCTCAACCAGTAAAGATAATGTCACCAATCCATGAAAGGACCACAGCTCCTATGACTGTGTATCTCAGACACAAGGCAGTTTACTTAGCTCTTCCAGTTAGACCAAAAAAAAAACTCTCCAGGGGAGGAGACATCATCAACAGAGGAAGGCTGAACCTTTGTTTCTCCCCAAATCCTGCATCTCTAAGGAAAGGAGTAACCTCTCCTCTGATATGCGTCAAATCGATGAGTGGCCTAGGTCCCCCATAAATAATTTTCTCTGCCCTACTTCTGAAAGCAATGTGACTTTTTTCTTAAATTACAGAATTTCTTTTCCATTATAAGAGAAACACCAGCTAATTATAGAAAAGTTAAAATATTCAAAGACTTATATAAGAAATGCCAATGGTAGAAGTTTATAATACTCTGTCTTATTACCTTTTCATCTGTTTTGTGCATATTATTGGTCGTCAGGAAAGTCACAATGTATTTTTCTGTTTTTCTATGCAAAAATACATCATGACTTTCCTGAAGACCCAATAGTTTTTACAACGTATAATATTTTACTCTTTCACTGAAATGTACATTTTTTTCTTCATGTCAAAAATTTCTTTGAAACTGTTATATTTAATGACACATCGTCCATCTTATGCCTATACAATAGCTTATTTAATCATTCTCATTATTCTTTTACAGAAAGTTCTAGGAACTTACATGTGAACCAGCAATGTATATAAGTACCTCCCCTGGGGCCAGTACGTGGCATGATGGTTAAGGTGCTAGACTCTCAGGTGGCTGACCATGGTTTGAGTCCTGGACCCAGCAGCTTGAAACTCATGCTGAGCTCATAGGCGTGCAGGCCCAAAATCCCAAGAGAAGAATGGAGAAGAAGGGACTGCAGCATAGCCACCCCCGCTGGGGGGGGATTTCTCACTTTCTCTCTCTCTGGTGACCACATGTGCCCTATAGCAAAACTCTCTCTCTTGAAAAAAGAAAAAGTACCCCACTTACAAGCACTGGTCATTGAATTTTACAAATATTTAATGGCTTTCTTTTCCTTTGCCATAGGGCACATGCACTTGCCAGAGAAAGACACACGCAGAGACTGAGAGACAGACAGAGGGGAAGAGAGGAAGCATTCCAGAAGTGATAACCATACTACATTCCCTCTCCTCTATTCTCCTCTTGGGATTTTGGACACACACACACACACACATATTTATTTTTTTCAAGCCACTGGGTCCAGGACTTGAACCATGTTGTCAGCCATGTGGGATCCAGCCACTTTAACCACCATGCCACAGACTACCCTAGGTTTTTCTTTCTTTAATTTGCCAGAAGGTACATGTGCTTGACTGAGAAAGAAGAAAAGACAGAGAGAAAGAAACCACTCCCCAATGGGTCATGGTGACTCCACAATCCCCCTCCATTCTTCATCCTGACAGGGTCTGAGGAATGTGCATACACACACCTGGCATGTTTCCAACTCTTGGGGCTGGGATTCAAACTGGGCAGTTTGCCGTGTGGGATCCAGCAGCCTTAACCACTAGGCCATAGAGCCAGCTCAGGATTTAATAGCTTTCTATTGAGATTTGGTGGCTTTTCTCACTGAATATAGTTCAGTGTAGCTTGACTAACATTTGTGGCAGGCTGACTTATCTCAGGTATTAGAATGTAATTGTGGGTCTTGCTTTTCCTTAAAGATGATGGTCTTCCTTATTTTCCCGTTCCTCAGTCTCTATTCCTGTTACCATAATTATATTAATATGAGAAATCTCTTCTCCTAACCAGCAGTATTCAGTGTTGCTACCGAAAGTGGGAGGGTGACTATCCCAGCATCAAAACACAGCAGTCCACAGCAGGTTATACCCTATTAACTAATGATTGCTGACAACTAAAAGTAAAAATAAGGCACTAATATCCTCTAGGAAGTTCTCAATAACTCAGGAGGTAGAGAAAGAGGCCCAGAGGCTTTATGCTGAGAACTAATCTAATTGGCATCTTTCTGTGAAAACAGCCCAAACTCCCAAGGTGCTTTGCGTGTTTGGTTGTAAACAAGGGGCATAACTAGAGGAGGAAAAAGAACTGCCTCATGCTTCTTTTTTTTTTTTTTTTTTTTTTTTTTTTTTTTTTTGAGAGGTTTTCACTATAGGGTGTATGCACTTGCCAGAAAGACAGAGAGACAGAAAGGGAGAAATTATCCCCCGGGGGAGGAGGGGGTGGCCAAGCCACAATCCATTCTCCTCCATTCTCTTCTCGGGATCTTGGGCATGCACACACATATGCCTGGCATGAATTTAAGCCACTGGGTCCAGGACTCGAACTACAGTCAACTACCTGGGAGTCCAGCAACATGGCCATTATGCTAACTGCTGATCCCGCTTCATGCTTATGCTATGCCAGGAACAATAGTTAGCACTGGTTATACGGCATTTTGTTTTATTCTCACAATAACCTTATAAACTAGGTATGGTTATCTCCATGTAAGCAAAGATGAATATGGGCTAGCAAGTAGCATGGTGGTGAAAGCACTGGACTCCCACATGGCTATCCACAGTCTGAGTCCCAGACCTGGTGACTTGCTTTCTCACTAAAATATGAATGTGTCTGGTAAAATTAAATAATAACAAATAAAATGAAGTAACTCTTTAAAAACAAAAAAGATGATGAAATTGAGGCATAAAATTTGCCTAAGGTCACATGAGTAGTATGTGGCTCAGTAAAAATTCAAAATCAGGGCTGCTGACTTTAAAGCCCATGCCCAGGTCATTAGGTCATATCATACACTGACACCACACATGAGTATGTTTGTGTTTTAGGACAGGATTTGGGAGTCAGTGATGAGGGGATTAGATTAGAGAACTCATAAGAGAAAAATAAATTAGAGCCGGTTTTAAATCGGATGATTCAAGAAAGACTTCATTAAGGAATCATTTTAGCAAGGACCCAAAAGAGGTGGTTTCTCTGTGTCCACTCAAACCACTTCTTTGGGCTGACTTCAACCTACACAGCTAGAATCTTTCCAGATCATCTGATCATGTTCTTTCCCTGAATGGCACCCTTCAGTGGTTCCTCGCCATTGCCTTTAGGATAAATAGCAAGCTTCTGCCTTGGCATACGAGGTGTGTCCTGATTTGAAGACTGTTTCTTAGCACCTATTACTGTCTGGGTAATATATTCTATTTGTTGTCCATCTTCCCCACTGAAAAGTAACTTTGATGAAAGTCAAAATTTTTATATTTATTTCACTGCTGGATTCAAGTGCCTAATGTAGTGCTTGGTACATACAAAGACTAAATACATTAAGGAAGCAGACACAGTTAAGGTATAGAAACTAGACCCAAGTTCCCTGGGCTGGAATCCCAGCTCTATCATTTACTTATTGTAGAACCTGGAGCAAGTTACTTTTAACCTCTTGTAATAGTAATTACGTACAGGGTTGTCTTAAAGGTTAGGTTTGACCCATTGTCTGCTAGCTACTGTAGGAGATGTTGGTGACCTATCCAGAGCCCTTTGATTGACCACTGACCCCACCCTAGGGCTGGCCAGTGCCTCTCTTACACAGGTATGCCAAAGCTTGGTCCCTTTACCTCACAGCGGAGTAAACGTGAAGTGTGACGCACACTCCCCAGTCTCTCAGGAAGGCTACAGCGAGACTATCTGAGGCTATGCTCTGGCTTGGTCTTTCTCCTTTCCCACTTCTACTTCTCTCACTTCCTTA